TTATATACACTGCTACACCTCATCTGACCTACCTATACATTGTAAGTTCACTCATAAGATAAATTATTGAAAGTAGTTACTGACCCGTTCTGGCTCTCAATTTATTTGTATGCATTGAGATAGATAAATTTGTTTGGTAAAATCGTCAACAAACTTCACATTGGTTCAGCTGTAAGAATTTTTATTTTTATATTATACCATCACTGTATACCAAATATGTAAGGCTGTTGTATTGATTTATTATCTCAACCCTTTTAGTTAATAGATGTTAATGGTAAAGACTAATTATGAGTGATTTTTTATTGATGTTATTAAGGGGAATATTTTATGATAAACAAGAATAATTACAGATAGATACTTTACTTAAACTGTTATATAAAGACATCTAATAAACTGAAGATGGTAGCGTGACAATACAGTACTGGAGATGGTGTCGTAACGTGATATTTTATTAATTTTTCTTAGATTACATGAAATAAGAAAGAATATAATTAATGGCTTATAATGATGGTATTGCTCATATATGGAAATAGGAGGAAATAATTAGTTATTGATTTTTATAATTACTTGGTGAAAAAGAATCTATTAGGCTGACGGGGACAGACGGAGTGTTGCTGAGAAATATCAATATGATAATATAAGTTTACAAAGGCACTTGTTATTGAATTAAATATAATTAACCATCACTCTAGATGGCCAGGGCTGCCCTCGTGTATTCATGATAAAGTTGCCCCTCATTACATTTTAATTATTAATCATTTTCATGATTCATCTTTGTTTTTATTTATTTCAAATTAAATCACAAAGTTTTCTGTGATGGGTTGTTGCTATAATATGCTATCATGCTTCTAAAATATCAAGTTATTTAAACTAAATTTTGATATATGAGCAATATGCTTAGTTCAACAATGTAAAATTAAATTCTTATTATATAATTGTATTAATAATATTGGTTTAAATAATAATATGGATTTTAGTCGGGTCCTTACACAGCTTGCATACATAGACAGTGATGGACAGTTCATGAACCTAAGGATAACTACAGCATGTAAAGGAGAATACTGACCACTTGTAACTTAAGATATTACAGTAGAATTGTTTTTAAGTAAAGTCTGGTTCATTCATATACATTACAGTACCTTAAGTTATCATAAATGGTTGTTTTGTTTACACACTATTAACTCGACTCTCAAGCAGAAACCCGGTATGAATTAAGAGCCAGGCCGGTGATGGTAGGAACAATCAATCTTTCCACCTTTGTAGTTTATTTAGTACAGAAGTATTTGTTTTAAGTAATGACACATGGACAACACTGTATTGTTTCTTATGTTCTATCTGGATAAAGGTTTTTGGCTTGATTTGTCCAGATCTTCATTTGTTTGTGTATTATTATTTAGTCCCAATGTAGGACAGGTGAAGGCATTAGAATATACTGTAGATTTAGAGATGTGCCGAGTTTTGGTATGTGACATCTTGTTCTGCCCAATTCTTTTCTTGTCATCTCTCAGGATTCCCCATATAAGGTGAACTGATATGGAATGAGAGTCTGTAACATTAGAATGACTGGTAGAGGAAGGATTTCATGAGTGGATGTTGAGTGTGAGGAGTGGATAGTATAAAAATAGGAGTACAGTACAGTAATGGAGTAATGAGTTGGGATTGGGATGAAAATACAGAGTGAATTGTTATGAAGGAGTGGAAAGGGAAGTTAACGTTATTAACAACACAAAATTATAGTAAATTGATGGTTGTAATATCATGGAAGACATCTTTATACAGTGGCAAGACATCGGCCCAGAATGGAAACAATATTGTTAGGAACTCAAGCTAAGACCTGCCCTGGGTCAGACCTTATGCCAGCAATGGGTTTAATGAAGCTTACCATAAATTAAAGAAGTACGTTGGATTAATATTGAATCTCGGAATTGGAGGAAAGTTGGAAGAGCATTGGCATGAATCCCAAGTAAGAATATTGGAAAGCAGGAAAACAAGTAATAGGACAGAAGAAACAGCCACAAACAGAATCACAAATACTCGTAAGGTTTTAAATGAATTTTAAAGATGGGAGAAGAAATATAAAGAAAGGGAGACAAAGTAAAGAAGATAGAAGATAACAGAGAGAGACACACACACATCTCCTGGGAAATATAGAAAGAGGTAAAGAAGCAATCCAGAGAAGAAAACATGTACTGGGTGGAACTGGGTGTACTTAGAATAGATACCCAGTAAGTAATTATAAAGTCTGATTTAAAGGACACACAAATGTCCCCATGAGAGATTAATTTTAAGATGACCTAAAATAGTAAATACCTTAGCTTATTGAAGACCTATCATACCTACAATAGCAGCCGGAGATTTATCAAAATATATATAAAAGGAATAAAAGACGATACATAGAGAGGATTACTTAGTATTGTGGATTTATGAGAAAGATTCCCCCAGCAGTGATTCTCTTTACAGGTGTATCTACTGAGCCATCCAAGGTGTTGATGTCTGATTGAAGTGGAGGATGAGAGAGAACCTGGGTATCACTTAAGTGTGCTGTGGTAAAGTCAGGTGCAGGAGTGGTAGAATATGTGTTATCTATTGTTTGGTATTATTTGCTCTGCACTCTGAGCTAATTGTGATATAATTTTTATGGAAAGGTGTAATATATTTTATAAACTGATATTTGCGAGAGGAATTTATATTGTTGAAGCTCGGTATAATATTTATGAGCATGATTATATAAAAGCACCTTTTGTATTTTGGTCATTATACTGTAGTTTACAATATGGCCTTCAGAGTCTTCAGTGTTTGCCAAAGTTAATGTCCATTGAAGATAAAGAGGTTGTAATGTTAAGCACAGCTAAACATAGCCATTGGTGGGGCTCTCTTAGACCTCAGATGCTTGGGAATCAGTGGAGAGGAAATTTACTACACAAACAAATCAAGTGAATACAAAAAAATAAATCTCAAGGAATGTACAGTAAGATTTTATTTGAAATTCCAGCAAAAGTAGTTGGCAATGTCATGCTCACTAGGTGCCTGTAAACCACAAGATGACCAAGAACTAGACTCTCTGTGAGACGAGTACTTTAATCAGTTTACCAAATACGTACCTTCGGAAGTTTTGTTCAACCACAGTATTTATCTAATTACAACAGTATATTTGACTGGAGTGATGCAACAAGTGACATTCATGGATTTTTATTATAGTGCATTAAAACATGCTAATTTGTTTTTAATATGACAAGATACTTTTACCATAATGATTTTATTAAAATGTTAATAACTAACGATTCCTAAGTAAGTACTACATTATTTCACCGTATTTGAGGATGATCAAGTACTGTACTGGAGGTTTCAGTTGGTGTACAGCCAGATTAGAATTGCAGATAGCTAAGAGGGGAACTCAGAGATCCTAACATGCATAAGCCTTGAAGGTGTCCCTGAAAAGTAAAGGCATTGGCAGGAGCCTTGATAATTATATACCCTGTTGATAATCCTCCTGAGTAGAAGCCTTGACAGGATACCTAACAACCAGTGGGCTTGATGGAATCCCTGATAAAGCATTGGTTTGAACCTTGATAACTTGATAACTAATGATAATGCTGTACTCATAAGTTGAAGCCCTGACACCGTACCTAACATGTAGAAGTCATGGTGGGATTCATGACAAGCATCTTAACAGGATAAACAGTTAACAATAGCAGAAGGTGTCATGAAATACTCAGTAATGCTTTAATGGCATCTCTTAAACATGAGGCCCTTGTGGGTCTCCAGACAGGAACAAGGTACTGAGGTGTGGCTCTTGAGTATTTCTACTAGAGAGGTGATTAACTTACCCTGTGTACTAGATAACTGGTCTTGGTATATGTGAGGCAAATGTGGTGATGCACGGTGAACCAAAACACAGAAAATAAACCAAACATAATTGGTTCTTGAGTGGTTTTATTAGTTTTGGTTCACAAGTTCTATACCTTCAGCTCGAGCAAGAATGAATTGTGAGCCAGACCTGGGTTAATAGACACAGCCTCATTGCACTTGTTGATACATAAAGGTCTAATATGATATCGTGTATGCTTGATAAGTAAAGGCCCTGATTGAGTACAGTACAGTGAACCCTTGAAGATCCGGACTAAAAGGAGGGACCACCTGTCAGGAAAAGCCGATTGTCCGAATTTTCCGGCGAATAATAAATGATTCAAGAAACACCAAAAATACAGTACTAATGTAGTGATAAACAAATTACCGTATATAAACCAAGCATTTACCTCTGATAACATAATAAGAAACATTGTATCATTACTAGAGCGAATGAAATAATATTCCCACAAACAACAATTGTCAACTTTGTTTATGTTTCCCACCTCCTCGGGCACCTGTGTCCAGGCAACTGACGGGTCAAGCAGTGCCCACGGGCCTAAAATATTCTTTGCTCTGGTTTGGGAATGTTTCTTAGGGAAACTTCTAGGAGGCTTCTTAGCCCAGAACCCCCAAATATTTTGAACCGGGTCTTCCGAAATCCGGATTTCCCGGGTCCGGATCATCAAGGGTTTACTGTATTTGGTTATGTAAAATATTATTACGGTCTCCTACCAATAAGCACTAATAGTTCCTTAATGAGTGACGGACATTAGTAGTAATACAGTATGAATAAACTTTATCATTTATTGTAAAGAGATTTTTAATGACCTTACAGTAACTGATACAGAGTACTGTACTGTATCATGAGGTGAATGTGTACCTGTAACAGTACTGTACTATAATAATACAAGTAATCCTTTATTTCATGGTGTAGAATACAAACCATATACAGTACAGTATCATTAGATCTCAATAAAATAGTTCACCTGCATTAATATTTGAAGCTCTACCAAACTCATATGATACAGTACTATGTAGGAGTGAGGGAAGGACTTGTGGTGTTGTATAGGAGTGAGGGGTTGTGCAGGATATTGATATATCAATAGATGTTATTATCATTTAATAAGAAATATAATTAGTACAAAAGGCTTTGTATGGTTTGTATTCAAAGCAATGTAAAACAAAATCTAACAAGAACTTTTGAAATGATAAAAACTAAGACACTCTTCCACTAACAGCTAGACATATCATTATACACACGTACATTATATACAAATGTTCTGCACAGGCCATGTACACACACCCAGAGTTTATATAATATAGACCTAATTCTGTTTGAACAAAATTGCTTTCAGTGCAAGAAATCATTTAGCTATTGGATAAGATAGAAAAATACATAACATAGAGTCAGACACAGACAATATGTACCATTTTGAGTCAGGTTCACTAAAGGTGTCCACCCTGACTTAAGAAAAAGGTATTTTGGTTGGAATGGTTACTACTGTGCTTATATCAAGCAATAATGAACCAGAAGATGCCTAGTGACAGTTCAGGGTACTGTATTCTCTCATAGCCAGCAAGTTTGTGGTTAAAGACCAGGTTCTCAGCTACCTGAACTGAACTGGGAATTTATAAATTGAATAAATTTGAAATTGAAAAACTCCTTCTCTTTCTCACCAGAGTCCAATAAATGAGGCAGTATGAAGGTACCTTGGAGAGGGAGAACATTTGAGAATCCTCACTACCAGGTAATCACTTGTGTTCATCTTCAATCTATATTGTTTAGTTGAATTAGACAAATTGAGTCAGACCAATATTAGTACAGTACAGTATACAGTATTGTACTTTACTTTACTTACCCTCTCCGCCACTGATTGGCCTGTTAGCGACTTGGGCAGTCGGTCACATCTTTGTTTCATACTGTTGGCAAGTATTGGGCATGTACTGGTTCCAGGTTGTATCTGTACTTGCACCAGTGTTGGTCAAGTTTGGTCTTAATACAATCCTGGTTTTGGATAAAATCGGCACAGGCAAAAAGAGGTATAGTTTAGGATCTCATTATTATATAGTGACCTGGGCTTGTTAGATTTTTCAGTTTCCATATTGTATTCTGTATTTAACATCTGCTTCCAGGGAGACCTTATGCGAATGTTTTTATCTTACCTGGTAAGCGTGTGGGCCATGGATTTCATTCATAGCGAAGGTGGCTGATAGACCAGGAACCATTAACCAAATTAATCTTCTCAAGATTCTCGGTGTAGTTATTCATCAACAACTATTAACTATTTTCAATCTCCTTAATTATTAGGAACAGCTGAATGATTTAGCTTGGTTTTGTTGACCTAAGTGAGTCCCATTAATGGAACAGAAACACCTTTACATACCAAAAGTAGATGATGTATTACAGTTCTATTGTATCAGAGGTGAAGTCTGAAATGCTCCACCTTGTGGTACTCCCAGTCATACATGGGGCTATGGGAAGGGTAAAGGAATTCTTGCAAGAGGTTTATGTAAACAAAGTAGAAGTGATGATTCGTTAGGTATCTCAAGGAAAGATGGATTGTTCTGACGGATAGAGGAAATAACATGTCGGAATAGGACTGATATGCATCATTTTGCTGGACAAGAACATCCTCCCTCTCATTGGAATAGTATTACCTGCTCATGGGGAGATGAAACTTTTCTCTGTTTGGGTTTGGAAAATGTTTAAAAAAGCTGTTCTACTCATTCCTAGGATTAAATTTCTTAGGTGATTGTTTATACTGTACTGTACAGTAATTAAAAGTTTCGTACGTCATCTCTTTTGAACACTTTTTGGCACACATGCTTTTTAAACGAGATGGAATGTCTGTTCTTATATGATGGAGCAGAGGTAATCTTGGCCCCCATCTAATACAGTATTATTCCATTCTGGTTTCTCTATTAAATAGGAGATAGGTTAAGAGAAGGTGTATCTAGATTACTGATGACAGTTCAGCTATTGCAGGTATTACATGGTCCATCTTGATGTCCTTCCTTATTGGAAGCTTGAGAAAAGTGTTCATCCTTGTGTTGAACTTCTGCACAATAAATAATAAATACTGTGCACATTGCTGGCATGTGTAGTATTAGCATGAAGTTCTTATCTGGGAATAGAGCAATTCCTTCAAAAGGGGATTTTTTTATCTGTTTCTGGAATTTTGTCAGACGTTGGATTTGCTTTAAAAGGTGGACAGTCGCCCTATCCTGGTACTGTGTTCATTTTGTGTAATCTACAGGAGTGTTAAGTTGTGGTGGATGACTGGAGTACTTGAGATCTGATAAACTTTTCCTTCTTTTTTCATCCTCTTATTTATTTGGGGGTGCTAAGGTGAGCTGGATCTGATGTGGTACCCCTGTGATGTCAATTTCTAACTTGTAAAAAAATTGGACTGGCAGCTTACTTGCTCAGCAACTAATGTTCTTAAGCCGTCTCCCTTTCTACGGAACCTTCATGCCAAGGGATATCAGACTTTTTAGATCTCAGTCACACAAGTCAGGTCCTAGAGCTTCAAACCTCTAGACTTGCTTAGCTATACAGAGCTACTTGATCCCATGCTTCTGTAACAGGATTGCAGGATCAATCCACCAATTCTTTAGTAAATAGGATCAATCATTCATTATATTTTCTTTATTAATTATTTATATTAATAAAATTTATATGGTAATTATGTTCACAGAAAATAGATGACATTTACTCAAGTCGTATTTTAAAATTGTCAAAATTCTCTAACAGTATCCTATGTCTTGTATAACTTGATGATTATATTGTACAGTACTTCTAAAATAATGTAAGTCCTAAATGATAATTTACTTATTTTGTTAGCATCTGACATGGTGAACATATATAAACTCATATAATGTATTGAGCATTAGTGTATAAAAACAAGTTATCAATTTTTTTAGTGGGTATCAATACACATATGCATACATTCAACCCACACAACTAATTATGAATGTGCTTACATACACACACACAGGCATACACAAACACACAAACCCATGGACACATTTTTTAACACATGCATATGTTGTGTTAACAGACTTCCTTTCCCAGACAGTAGGGTTATCATTAGTGGACATATACAAGCAAATATTAAACTTTTGTTCCATTATACAGGTCAGTTTGTCAGGTGATTGTAATTCTTGAAATCATTACCTGAAAAGGGGACGGTACAATACCACTTTACGGTGGAGTGAGGGGCTGGATCTGCCAGTGTGTGTACTGTATTCACACATGTACATCTTGACTCACACACACATTTACTGTACAGTATATTACTCACAAAATGCTCTTTTGTTATATGCAGTGATGCTCTACAGTAGTCTCAAACTTAGCCAGAATATATATTCTCACATACACATCAGCTCACAAAATCCATTTTTACAATATGTAATAATTTAAAAAATACTGTAATGTCATTAGATGAAAGTCAATGAAGCCACAAGTTTATGCATAAACTGACATATTGAGGAAGTGTAGATGTGGAAGGCACAGAAAAACTTGTGTATGGGTCTACTAAGATAATGGAACTTGTGCATATTTCTGTCACAGTTTCTTCTATATTCACCATCAATAACAAATTCTAGGCCATGAATGTTGTAAAATTAGGTAGTAACCAAGACAACTGATATCTGGTTTGCATAATATCAAGCACAATGTAATGCCAAGCCAACTCATAAAACTATAATGGTTCTTCCCTTTTTCAGGTCTCAAACAATTTAAACATATCATCAGTAAAGGTCTGCAGTGTTTTGAAGTCCTTCCACTAACATGTGGCTGGTTACAAGGTGCCAACATTCACACGCCATGTGGTTCAGACAGTAGTACACACAGTACAATATCAGGTAATGTACTTCCATCATTAGTTTTAAAAATTTAATGACATAACAAAGAGATATATCCTTTATATTAGCATATTATTAAAAGGGGCTTTTGAGAACTTAGATAAATCTACATGAATGGTATAGAAAATATGTACATATCATATGCATTTAAAAGTGACTGAAGAGGTATAGTCTGACACAGACAAGTTAAGGTAATGACATATACAATTTTGGTCCTTGATCCTCAGTATTTTGGTCCATACTCTCAGGAGCTATATGTATATGAGACACTAATTATTTCATCTATAACTGTGATCTCAGAGAGATCGATACTGAAGAAAATATCTCAATACATATGACAATTCAGGCTTCTGGCTCTTGATACACACAGACATTCCATCATTAAGGAGTTACAACAACTTGACTTATTGAACAAAACATAACACGTGGCTCACTTTGCATCAAACTGTCTTGAGATTCATTCACAATATCCTAATCATTCACTCAAGTAAATTACAGATAGAATGAGGGCATTAAATCTTTAGTACACAGGGGACTATGAAGACATATTAGTGACAGTAAAGAAAATTAATTAAATAATTGAAATTTCATGACTAAAAATTCAAGTATCCATTACTGATATTTATAGCACATAGGAAGATGAACCCTTCACTCTATCATGCAAAGTGTGTAATAATAACCGTATATGAGAACCTCTAATGTACACAGCTAAATAAATGTAAATAATTTTCACCTGTTCTCAGTATTTTTTGTTCAATATTTTTTGTCTCTTAATATACAAATAAAAGTATATAAATACAATATATACAATTTGTAACACTCATTAACACTATTTCTCAACAATTGTCCTTCCAAATGACTTCATGTCTGTAGCATATCAGCAAGTTGAGCAAGAAATATAAACATAATAATTTAAAAACTTAATCTAAAAACACAATTCTTCTTTTGCCCTAAAGGACAAATATCAGCATCCATGTTGAGTACATCTTTAACTTCTTCCTCCCTCCCCTGTACAGTAACGTATATCATCTCACTATCCATGATATATTATTACTGTATTGGCAACTATTCATCATCACTTGTCAGTCAACCAATTTCAGCAAATATTCCTCACAATTGCTATTATTAACTGACTCCTATTATGCCCTAAAAAAGCCACAAAAGTGAAGGGAGAAGTAAAACATTCTCACAATGACCAAACTTGGACAGCTGAACACTTGGCTGGGGGTAAAATGCAGGAGGTATGAGAGAATAAAATGTCTGAATGGCTAAGAACAAAGGGTGGGAGTAGCCTTCAATTTGCCACTATAACATATTTGAACATTAACAAAGTTTTAGCATATCCTATGGGGCTGTATGTTGGGGACAAACTGTGCCAGCCAAAATGTTTTATATCTGTCAACATAAAGTTTTGCTGACATTTTGACACGAAGTACAGTAGAGTACTTCGAGGGATTAATTAATTGTAGATAAACTAATGCATTAGCTTGGAAGAAATAATATTTGTAAAAGCACAGACCTAATTTAACCTTGAAACTGAACATCATATAAAATATATATATATATATATATATATATATATATATATATATATATATATATATATATATATATATATATATATATATATATATATATATATATATATATATATATATATATATATATATAGTCTGTGACTAAACAGAAAAAAAACTGGCTAAAAGCATGTAACATTTATATCGAGTTACTTTCATACGGCTTTAGTAACTTCGGCCTAAGATTCTAAGCATTGTAAGGTTAGTGAAGTTAATTGGGTAATATTGGTGTAGTGACAAAGATGTCTCTAATGTTAGTGACTGTAGAGTTAACAGTTGGCTTGGGAAGGTCATGTATAATAATTAAGAGATGAAAATTTTAGTCCGCTGCGTTTAATTTAGATCGAGCGTTTAGCAACAAGGAAGGTTAATTTTCAGTTACAGAACAGCCCACTGCACCTAAGCAAGCAAGTAATCAGTTCCACAGAATTTACTGAAGATAAACAGCTCGGACAAGACTTGGGGATACAGCCGATTGGTGTAACCTGTACTGATAAGCAAATTGCATGTCATTCAGCATTAACTGAAGACTCACTAAAGGTTACAGTTTTATTATTTTTAAGATTCTGAATATATTTAAACTAGATTGAATCATTTATAAGAAAGCCTAAATTTTGAACTCATTATGAATACTGTGCTTATACAGCATACTTGAACAGTAGTTTAAAAAATACTAACTTTGCACACCTACAGTCCCTGATGCATCAAGTACTGTAAGTGTCACAGTCCACTTCTATCATCTCCCACAACCTCAGCTGGCTTCAGCCTCACCTATCACAAAGGATGTATAGTTCCAGGACATGTGATGATACAGTGAACTCATCTGAGCAAACTTGGTAAAACACTTAATACTGAAGACCAAAGTGATTTCAGTGAGTCAGCGCATTGAAGTTTCAGCCTGTTAAATCACTAAAGACATACAATATACTGTACCATCAGTTTTGTAGAGCTTAAACTGAAAGTTTTTTAGTAACCATTATTAATTTTTTTAATATTTACATTAACTAATTGCTGCAAGTTTCTACTGTTTTCTGCCATGAATGTTTTATATTTTGGGTTTACAATTTACCAACAGCCATGAACATGAAAGAATTCTATATTTATTTGTATTATATTCTTGCAGATGAAGAATATTAAGAAATACCACGTAGTTAAGTAATGGGTTAGCCTTAGTCGCCCATGGAAGCGCCTCATGGGAGGGTACAAAGGGTTCGTTCTGTATGAATGTTTCTTTAAACTGACGACACTCACACCTGCACGCCACCTAGTAGCGGCAACATCTCTAAACTCCACACTTTCCTTCAAGATTGATTACATCTTGTTTCACTGGCTATCTCTCTTCCCCCTAACTTCTATCTTTATATCTAGGTTTTTCGTACTTCCCTAACTCCTGCTTTATCTTCTTCCATGATACTTGCTCAGGCAATTCTTCTGCTCACACATTTTACTCAAGCTATTTCATATTTTTTTATTTTATTTTTTGTATGTGTGTGTAAGCAGATAGCAACCATCATGTGTAAATCTTCAGCTATATTTCAGGCATTGGTGTTGATTCTTTGACACTTTAAACACAAAGACTATAACCTTGTTATCTGAGAGCCACTTTTAAACACCAAGACTATAGTCTTGATGTTTAAAAGCTGCTCTCATAACACCAAGGCCCAGAGCCTTGGAACATCAAGACTCTATATATATATATATATATATATATATATATATATATATATATATATATATATATATATATATATATATATATATATATATATATATATATATATATATATATATATATATATATATATACAGTATAGCTTTGATGTCAGAGTAGCTTTCACAGGGTGTATAACAGCCTTGAAAAACCTTGAATTTACCACATTTTCAGGAAAAAATGGAACTTTGGTTGCATGCTTGAGAATGTATGTATGTTTTATCTGTTTTAGGTATGCAAGATAAAAAAATTTTTTATGATTTATTAAAATAATCATTTTGTTTTATAATAAAATTAACCAAAAACTTGAATTTTGATATTTTTGCCTTGAAATTCAATTATGCTCAGCTTTTATACACCATGTGTCGAACACCAAAACCATAGCCTTGGTGTTTTAGAGCAGCTTTTGGACACCAAGACTATAGCCTTGGTACACCAAAACTATAGTCTTGGTGTTTTATAGCAGCTTTTGGACACCAAGACTATAGCCTTGGTACACCAAGACTATATAGCCTTGGTACACCAAGACTATATAATCTTGGTGTTTTAGAGCAGCTTTTGGACACCAAGACTATAGCCTTGGTATACCAACACTATAGTTTTGGTGTTTTATAGCAGCTTTTGAACACCAAGACTATAGCCTTGGTACACCAAGACTATATAGCCTTGGTACAACAAGACTATAGCCTTGGTACACCAAGACTATAGTCTTGGTATTTTATAGCAGCTTTTGGACACCAAGACTATAGCCTTGGTACACCAAGACTATAGTCTTGGTATTTTATAGCAGCTTTTGAACACCAAGACTATAGCCTTGGTACAACAAGACTATAGTCTTGGTATTTTATAGCAGCTTTTGGACACCAAGACTATAGCCTTGGTACACCAAGACTATAGATTTTATATAGCCTTGGTACACCAAGACTATAGTCTTGGTATTTTATAGCAGCTTTTGGACACCAAGACTATAGCCTTGGTACACCAAGACTATATAGCCTTGGTACAACAAGACTATAGCCTTGGTACACCAAGACTATAGTCTTGGTATTTTATAGCAGCCTTGGTACACCAAGACTATATAATCTTGGTGTTTTAGAGCAGCTTTTGAACACCAAGACTATAGCCTTGGTACACCAAGACTATAGTCTTGGTATTTTATAGCAGCTTTTGGACACCAAGACTATAGCCTTGGTACACCAAGACTATATAGCCTTGGTACAACAAGACTATAGCCTTGGTACACCAAGACTATAGTCTTGGTATTTTATAGCAGCTTTTGAACACCAAGACTATAGCCTTGGTACACCAAGACTATTGCCTTGGTACACCAAGACTATTGCCTTGGTACAACAAGACTATAAGTCTTGGTGTTTTATAGCAGCTATTGAACACCAAGACTATTGCCTTGGTACACCAAGACTATATAGTCTTGGTGTTTTATAGCAGCTTTTGGACACCAAGACTATTGCCTTGGTACACCAAGACTATATAATCTTGGTGTTTTAGAGCAGCTTTTGAACACCAAGACTATTGCCTTGGTACACCAAGACTATATAGTCTTGGTGTTTTATAGCAGCTTTTGGACACCAAGACTATAGCCTTGGTACACCAAGACTTGTCGTCTGAGAGCAGCTTTTAAGTTGTACAGATGCTTGGTAACCAAAATGACTAAAAAAAAAAAACATTGTGAATGCACTTATCTCCCACTGTCAGTGGTGGACCTGGTGTACATAATATATAAATGTACAATATTCAAAGACAGACAGATATACATAGATAGGGACAGAGAGAGATGTTGCAGCCTTGTATGGACTTTATGTCATATATAACTACTGTAATTGTACAATCAAGGTTTCATTAAATAACCATAAGAGGCCATATATGATCTTCACCTTTTTCCTTGTACACTAGTGACTTGGCAATAAAGTGCCCGGTTACAAAACACCGCATTTATAGCACCATATCCTAACTCTTGTGCCCACTGTCTTGGGTTCCAAATAATCCTTTTTTCATTGGAAACATCTCTGGGAGAACGAGATACCACCACTTGACGACACCAATTGTGGCTCAGTAATTCAGTCTACTTGGAGCACATTGGTAAATGCCATTGTAAGAATATTAAAAGTTGCATATATTCTTTTATTACCTAGGAAGTTTCTCCGGCATGTTGTACACATCTATTATCACTAATTATAATGGTATGTAGATCTTATTTACATGACTATCCTGCCACTCGTGATTTTTAAGATTCACTCTTATCATCCTGGACTATCACAGTGCCATATAAGTGTTTAATATCACCATACTTTCTCTTGGCTGTATGTGGTAACTTGAGGAGATCTAGCACGGAACTCCAATCAAAACTTCTCGTCAGCAACCTGGAGCGGAGTATAATGGCCATTTGGGATATTTCCTGTGAATGAAAGAAGCTGTGAGTATGGGGAATGTTATGAGCCTTAATGTGCCCCAACAGGATTATGTTAAAAATCTGTCAGTGAGAGAAATATTGGGAAAAAACTTAGTCCTGTTTTTTGGGGGGATGTAGAAGTGATGCATCTGTGAGTTATATAAATGAATTTGTCTTCTTTAACTCCTTCACTACAGGGAAGTCACTATTGATATTTTATTTGGCCAACACAGACGATTTTATTCGCCTCAAAGGGGACCCCATACACAAGGGGTTAAGTGCGATGGGAACCTGCCGACCTGATGATAAATACAAATACGTGTGGGATATACAGGTGTAATAAATATAACAACATACCATTTTCTCTGCTTGACCGTGGTGTTGGCTGAACATTCTGTCTTGCTTTCAAGTATTTGACAAGGTGATGAATGCCGAGGTAAACAGCTGCACATGCTGCCGAGACAATGGCAGCTCCCTGAAACACTGGGACATCACCATACTTGGTCCTAAGATGCCCTCCAACAAAGGTACCAATGCATCGACCTGAAACGAGAAAAAAATGAATACTGTATTACAGTATATGTATTAAAAACATGTAAAGCACATATGAGGTGTATGGTGCAACGGGCGCAAATCAACCTCCCCAAAAATGTGTGTGTATATACCTGTATGGTATATATACAGAAGGTCCCCTACTTATGAATGCCTGCCGATACAAACTGGGTTAAACTTTAAATTTACGGTATTTTATTTACCCGAGGACTTATTTTTTACTTACATTTACTGTATTTTGTCATTCTATTTCTTTTGTCTTAAACTAAGTGATTTTTAGATGTATATAAGGACTTAGGCTATGATACTGTGGGATTTTAAACATTGTTCTGCAAGTACAGTATGCACATAGCATGTGTTCATAACTGTATGGGAAAGAGGTTCAACACAGACATCTTCCAGTGTCAGTTGCAATTCTCTTCCTGTCTTCTACTGGTGGACCTGATGCCTCACTGGCTTTAGTATAAACTACTGAACTAGGATTTTGAGACAGGACCAGGAAATCTAACCCTGATGTATAACTGACACTTAGTGATATAACAATGCTTCTCTGCTCATAACCACACAGTAAGGCTTAGGTGTTTCACAAAGTAAATTTGATGACTTACATTACCTGGAGGAGGGAACATCAGAAAAAATTATTAAGAAATGTTCAGTTGATTTTAACTAACCTATATTAAAGTGTGAAACCCAGACTAAAGCTTGGGCTGTTGCCACGAAGGTCTTGGGGGAAAGCTTGTATGCTAGAGTGGCAGCTGACACATTCATTAAGTTGAGTGTGAAGAGTTCCAGTGACTCCAGCAGTAAAGCCCACCAGGGATTAATGATATATGATAAACCTGAAAAAGAAAACACTAACTTTATAATCTTTTCTTATCAAACTGAAATATGATGATTTTACAAAACACTTCACAGGGAATATTTACTTCATTGTCAAAAATCATATAATCAGTGAGGACTAAACTTAAATATTCTGACAAACAATTTTAAGCTTATCACGAATTTAAGATAAAACTCTGTACAAAGCTTACACGGACATACAAACATTTAGTAGCTCTTAAAATTTTTGAAATATCTCTTCCTTCCCCAGGTCTTACAAGTATTAAAGGACAAGGTCTGTCAAAATTATGTACAGTTTAGCAAGGTGTACACATAGGCTACTAAAACATTGTAGGCTTGTATAAAACAAAGGTATGGTTGATTATGTCAAAAAACTCTCAGACAATTTAATTTTGTATTAATCTCTCTTCTTCCAAAATAACTGTAGTACTGTATAATAATCATACGGTACAGTATAGGTGTATGTAAAGTTTTGTTCGTGGTTTTAAATCAGTGATCCTTAACATTCTGTCTGAAGATCATTTGTCAAATTTTCTGATACTAATACTCTCATAATAATGACAAAACAAATTTAATTGCAATATGATTGACATATTAATTTTTACTACTGTACAGTACTGTATGTACTTTTCCTAAACGATGATAATTATGTATAGTGTATGTAATAATAAAGAAATACATTTAATAGGGTGTTGCTTGACCACTAAACTCATGGTTCCTTCTGTTTTTTATGTTTTTTTTTATAGTACTGTACTGGCAGACACTCATTGTGATACTCCACCATGCTGTAGTGTTTCAGGTAAAAATTTTGAGTAATTAAGGTTCATATAAAATATTTCTGTTAGGGGGTAACAGATGATGATGGAAAATGTGATCCTAAGATGTCCCACCAGACAAGTGACAAAACAGAAAATCCTGGTCAAAAGTTCTACATAAATAAAGATTTGCCCCCCGAAAAATATATATATTATCACTTACCGGCAAATCGGATACAGTATCCAAGGAAGGCAAGCATGATGAGGTAGTGGTGGCCACAGTACTTTACTACAGCTGTACTCCTGTATAAAAATGGCAGTGAAGGAACAATACCAAAGGAAAGAGTAAGACCCAGGAGTAACTTGGATGCATGTAGGTCTTCTAAATACAGATAGACAAATGTCTTGAGGTAACCCCAGAAGATGCCCAGGAGAGTCATCAGCAGCAGGAGGATGCTCAGTTCTGTTGTGTGGATGAGCTGAGTGATGTTTTTCAGCTGAAATAATGTAATGCTTAAAACATTTGCCAAAACTGGTGGAGGTAGACATTGTATGCAGGTAACATCACAGAAAACAATTAAAGGCTGTAATAAACTTACGGGCACAGCATAATCGACTTTTTAAATACTCTTAATTATTTCAAAGGTCATTAATTAACACTAATTACTCAAATTTTTAAATTGTGAACACAAACCCTTAATCAGCATGTAAAGATGCACCTTTGTATGAAATTTAAACAATCTTTTTCTGACCGCAATCGCTGAAAACCAAGGTATTACAGGAGTATTTTTGGGAAAGTGAAAACTAACATGTTTATAGTATAGTAAAGATAGTCAGGGTGTCAACTGGCCAGACAAAACAAAATTCTCTGGCTTTTCCAAGTGTAAATCTGAAAAATTCCAGGTACGTTAATTCCGCATTTATTATGACAGTAACAAAATTAAAGGTTTTCAATAAATGTACTGTATATACTATTGGGAAATTTAAAGATGATATAAATGATTTAATAAAGAAATTGAAGACCCTTTTGCAACCCACCCCAAGCCTAGTTATGAATATCGGCAAAGACTAACCCCCTCCCTCCCATGGGCTATGTCTTAAGAGTTGCCTTCCACACATGGAGAACTGTATCATACTCTACCTACAGCATTTACTGACTAGCTCCATGCATCAATTACTGTTACTGTCTTGTCCTTATAGGAACTTAGAAGATTCTAGGAATATATGGTATAAAAAATTATACAATAGATTTCCTGTCAACTTTTCAGACAGTAAACAAATTCTTACCAAACTCATTCTCTCAACTTGCACCTCAATGGGTAGTGCAACTGTTACCACCGCAGTTACCAGCATCAAGCCGTTGAACACGTAGAACACCGGGGCGTAGCTGTACCCCCCGAAGGTTCCGAACTGATTGTCGATGAGATAGCCGGAGATCGGTGAAAATACTCCTGAAATATTCCAAGGATACAATGTTAAACTTCTTTTGTGGCAATAATCCCTCTTGTTAAATTCAAACCACAACCTATATTTATTGATTCAAGTTTCTACTATAGTATTCATTTACCCCTATTAACCTTTTCAGTACAGGGATGCCAGTTTTAGACATTTATTTAGCATACTGCCAGACTATTTTATTCAGCATAGAGGGGACACCCACACAGGTTAGAAAATTCTTATAAACCAATAATATACCATGACTTGTCCTTTCATCTTTTTTTTATACAGCTCATATATTTTACTTTACTCTCTAGACCAACTTCACCTACATCATAGGTCTCCATGCTACCAGTTTCCTAAGTCACTAATTTATACTCTGTTCCTTTGCCTATATATATCAAGTATCTTCCTTAACTCCTGCCAAAATAATATGTTAATGGTAAAGGAGGTGTGTAAAGATGATGTTACTGTAACTATGAAATTTAATGATTCATTAATCTGTACTTATTATCATTCTGTGCTGTACTTACTATCATTCTGTGTTGTATTTCCTATCATTCTGTACTTATTTGGTTTTATTATCATTCTGTACTTTTTCCAATCTTACTCCTTCTGTCCTATCAGCCTGTCTTTATCATTCCTCATGTGTACTTATCATTCTGTACTTATCCCTCTGTCCTTTACTCGTAAACCTGTACATGACTCTTTATTCATCCTCCAGTAACACGTGTCTGAGGGTGGACAGTAACTCACCTACAGCAAGTAAACCAAACATCTTCTCCCTGCCATAGTCTCCCTTGTGTTGATGGACCATGGTGAGGGCCACTGCCTCTAACAAGGACACCAGGATGGCTGAGAACATCTCGGCCAAACCCCTCACACCAAAGTACAGCCATAGGGTTAATTTCGGATTCCCCTTCACCTTCGAGCATTGAGGTCTCTGGAGAAAGTGAGTTCCGTTAACCTGAAAAAGGAGTGAAAGTTTGTTGAGAACGGGTATTATTATTGGTTGATGGTAAAGAAGGTTTTATTGATTGGTTAAATAAGTCTAGGTTAGTGCAGTAGTATTATATAAAGTGTTACACTGTATTAAACGACAATAACTCTACGGACATTTCACATCGTATTTTATTTGATAAACCATTTATTTATATATTTATTTATGAATGACAGAGTAAATGATGCGTAACAACTCTGAAAATTAAAAATGTCTATCAAGAATACAACTTAATACTACAGAGTATTATTGGAACAACCAAGCTCTTCAAAGCAAAATTATATAGATGATAAATGTTTCCTTACCACCTCGGTAGCATTACAGATAACTTCACAGTTTGGTGTAGCTTGACAGGTGAGGCCAGTGTATTGGTTGGTATCTGTAATGAAGTCTTGCTGTGGGTAGTAACACATGACGTCATCGCCTTCCCCTTTACCAAGTTTTGGCTCAAATGTTCTGTTGAATTCTAATGTTATCTGAAAACACACGAACATCACTGCCGTTAGAGTGGTTACGTTTAGTATTTCACTTTATTATTAACATTATATATCAGTTCAATATCATCTCAACAAGCGTGGACAGGATCTCGGTACACCCGCTCCGAAGACTATCTTTACGGAGGGGTCAGATGGCTTTCAAAATGTACACAGCGATGCCAGTTGTCTCGGTAAGGTTGTCAAAATCCTTCATCCATTGTCATATCTCACACAAAATCATAGATGCATTTATTACACTACAGGTCCTAAATATCCCACTTACCCGATCGTTGTTGAAGGTTCTGTACTCCTGGTTACCCGTTATTGAGCGAAGACTCATGACAGGTGGTGTGTCGCGAGTTACATAGGTTTCCACCTCAACTTCTTCTTGATCCGAGTTGAGTTTTGTACTGGTCTCTCTACACACCTGGCGACACTCCTTCACTCTGTGTGTTGACAGTAAGTATCGTAATTCGAAATAAAGTGCACAAAAGCTTAGAACAAAATATAGATAACCCGAGTTTTATTTCACCTCAAGATTAACCATTCTAACCTTTATCCCCCCACCTACACCAGGTACCATTAGGGTGGTTAATCATCAGATGAAACAAGCTGGTATGGTTATTCTCCAGGTGATCCTCACGTGCTAATAAAGATTGAGAAACACTACTTTCAACAAGGTCTTTGGGTTTAAGTACAGTACCACATTTGATTTTAAAATATCAGGTTTTAGTTAAATATGGGATCTCATGAAGATCAATAACACCTTTTTTATTCCACATGATGATTAAACACCCTAATACAGTACTACAATGGGGGTTAGGTTAGGTTAGCATTGGAGTTTTTAAATTCACATCCAGTAATTTGTATTAATCTAAAGTGCTAAATGAAGATAAAGTTTGTAAATAAAGTGAATGTGTATTAATCTCACATGAAGGATGAGGAGTGGAAGCCAACAGGTTGTGGGCAGGGGTTGCCACAAGGGTCAACCACAAGTGCAGCTCCTGCAGGGTTGCATCTGAGGGTTAGTGGAGCCTCTACAGGTGGCGACACCTCACAAGATGGCACGAACAGGAGTGCCGTGTGAAGGATGGCAGCTGTAACACAACACATGTTTTACTGTCTTAAAGCAATAGTTGTTTGTGGTATAAATCTGTACTGTATGTATGTATGTATGTATGTATGTATGTATGTATGTGTGTGTGTGTGTGTGTGGAGATGTATTAATAACAATAATAAAAAAAAACATGAATAACTGAGAACTGCGTTAACTGTACATACACCCCGGTCCTGTACCACTGGATCTTAAGATACCACACACAATTTAACTAGTAAAAGGGATAATGATAATGTGTGTGTCTAGTTAACATTAGCTTAACCACAATAAAGATAAAATACATAATATATTTGCATCCCTGACATATGGATTACCAAAACATTACTGTAACATGTGTACACTAGACCAAGATACAACAGACTGTTACCCTACCACAACCTTGACCATCTCCCCCACCTGCCTACTGCTGGTTGTGTTAACTAACGTGACTCCATACTCACCGGCCTATTGCAGACTTTATTTTCTTATGTTCAAAGTATTGTTCTCAAAGGGTTTAACACCTTCCTCAACACCCACCAAACCATTGTAACTTGTAGGTGTTACAAGTACAGTAACATTCTAAAGGTTCAACACCTTCCTCAATACCCACCGAACAGCATGCAGAAGATGGTGATGGGGCGGTAGTGGCCCAGTCTGTCGGCCATCATGCCCACCAGCGGCGGTCCTAAGAGGGAGGTGAGGGGCAGCACTGAGTTGATCCAGGTGATCTCCTGCTTGTTCAACCCGATGAACCTCATGTGGATCGTCAGGAACGGTATGAGGCAACCCAGAGCTGAAGAAGAGGAGTGTTGTTTAGTGGACAAAAAGTTTCTTTGTTAGTTAATAGACAAAGAGTATTTTTTGCAGTTGTTGACGATCCAGGTGATCATTAATCAATTGATATATACAGGATACAGGTGTGCTTGTGTGAGAGTCGATAGTCAGGGTGATACTGAGGTCGTATATAAAACCAGTGTGTATATGTATGTGTGTGTGTGTGTGCGACGTGCGTGCATGTGTTTACCTCCATAGAAGGTGAAGAGGAGCAGCTTCAGCAGCAGGAGGCTTCTGTTGACACCAGCCATCTTGGTCCGCTCTCCTACAGGTGTCACGTCACCAGGGAATGTTTAGCCACACTATTCTACCTGTACTCGATATCTGCCCCCAGATACCTCAGTACCCAGTGTAAAAAATAGTTATATACAGTACTAATATGGACTGACGAGTCTTCAAGTACGTCGGTTTGGCAGTGGCTTTAATTACGGTGAAGCCATAGGAGGTTGGTGTAGTGGACGCTACTGCAGGACGGACGATGGCCCAGGTGGAAGGGGTGGCGAGTCGGTGTGTTGTTTTGTGTGTGTGTGTGTGGGTGTGCCCCAAGTCAGGTCATGAGGGCAGGGCCTGGCTACTGCTGGTGGAAGGCGGACAACGTTTACAGCGTCTCATGGCCAGCACTTCACCATTGTCTACAACTTCTTGAACAATACATCTGTAACAAAACAAACACAAAGATAAGTAATAATAATAATAACAATAATAAATAATAATAATAATAAGCTGAACTAGGACGAGGAGGCTGTCTTAACTCCATCGAATGTACGTATATATGTATGTTTATGTATGTAATAATAATAATAATAATAATAATAATAATAATAATTAACGGTTTATTGAAAGAGCTTGGCAGCCAGAAGGCTGAAAATATACAGTTACATATTTGGGGAATGGGTTTCGAATTACAAATAATATACAAGTAACATAAGTGACACAAATAAGACATATAATAACTAGATGGGGAAAAGCTCAAACTGCAGTTCATTTCAACATAGTGACAGTGCAAGGAGTAGTGTTTACTGGGAGTGAATACACTGATTTATTACAAGTTATTGATAATTTTTACAATGGTTGGGACTGGGCTGTTCTTATAGCGATCAGTTCGTGCACGTATGGGCTGGATGCGGTTGTGGTGTCGAACAGCAATTCTCGGACTAGTGATCTCAGGTGGTAGTAGGAGCCGGTGTCGAGGATGGTGTAGAAGCTTCTTACCAAATTTGCAGATGAGGTCGTGGTGATGGTCAGTGAGAGTCGAAAGGGTCAGTGTGTTGAGCGCTTCTTGATATGTGGAGTAGGAAGGGGAGAGAATAATCTTGCATGCCCTCTTTTGCACTTTTTCTAGGTGTTTACGTTGTGTGGCATTTAGGGAGGAAGACCAGGTGGGGAGGCATAGGTGAGCTTGGGAAGTATGAATGTTGTGTAAACACTGAGGAGCTCGGTGCAGGAACTCCGAGGGACTTGAGTCGGCGGAGGAGGTGGAGACGGAAACTGGAGGATTTGACAACTTCACTGACGTGTGGTTTCCAATTTAGTTTGTTGTCTATGGTGACGCCGAGGAGCTTCGTGGAATCTACAACCTGGAGTGTGTTCGGACCTAGAGTAATGGAAGGAGGTGGGACAATGTCGAGGAGAGGTTGATGTGCATAACCATGGTCTTGGTATGGTTGATGGTGACATGGTTGTTGGTGGCCCAGTTTTGGAGACTGTTCAATAAATCCTGAAGGGCGGTATAGTTGGGAGCAGAATTGTTGACGCTGATCCCAATGGTGGAGTCGTCGACATATTTCCAGCGAGCAGGGGTTTCTTTTAGGGCATGTATGCGTGTTAAGATGCAGAATAGTCAATAAAACAAATTATCCACACTTTCCTCTCGCTACAAACTAAGGAAAGAGAAAACACTACAAAATTTCGGTATCCAGTGAAGCATTCAGTGACCACGTTAGTATTTTCTATTAAACAACTCCCTCTAACTCTTCCCCAAGGACACGCACGTATCATTGCCTAAGTACCGACACGCGCTACCCTCCTAAAGATGACCAGACGACCCTTAGGAGATCATGACCCCCCCCCCTCTCCTCCTCCTCCTCCTCCTCACAGTTTGGCGAAGCTTTTGTTGTATGAAATCTCCTTCAGTATTCAAGCATGAGAGCAAAAGGTTCCCACTTGGTCGAGTTGTTAGTCTCTCACCGCTGGCTGCCTCAAGTGGGACCTGTGGCGTCATGCATTTATCCTTAAGGGGATTTTATACATTACATACAGACATTGCAGACATACATACATGCATGCATCTCAATCTTTATGTATACAGTAAACAATGAACCAATATTAACACAACCTAAAATTAAGTGATACATAAATAAATAAATGTACAGTATAAATTTTCATAACTGTCACATTAAATTAATTAAGTTATTGTAGTTCTTTGAGTCCGTCTCCTTAAATTAGCCAGTTAAGATAGAAGTTTTTACTACTGCTACTATAACTACTATGAACCCCTGTAGTGTTTATGAGGCAGCGTGTTAACAGTACTTGCAAAAATGTTATAAATAAACCCCTTCCAAGAACACACACACACTGGTCATACCAAAGCACATCAAGCAACCACAACCACGCCAAACTGCTGTCCTCAGGCGTCAGAAATACAACTGCCATTTTAAAATTATCCTAACCTAAATAACTACGCTAACCCTTTATATTTACTAGGCATTTCTTTAAGTAAAAATAATTAATAAGTGTTGATGAAATACGATTAAGTAAAAATAATTAATAAGTGTTGATTCAATAGGGTATTGTAAGATAATATATAAAGTCGTTATGATATACGGTATTTTAGAAGTGTTCGCTATATATATCGTGTTTCAATGTAATGTTACCACTTGTCGACTTTGTTATTTGTTTTGTTATTTTCGTTATAGCAGAACTCGTGACTGTACAGAAATATAGTGTACAGTAATTTTAGTATAGTAGGATTAGAGTATATTTGTTCAGTATAAACGCTGTGTGTTTTATAGTTGGCCCGGTTTGACTTCACACACACACACACACACACACACACACACACACACACACACACACACACACACACACTACCATAAATAGTCAAGTATGCAACCCCCCCACCCACAAACGTTTTACGCACGCATCCCACACAAATACGCACGCACCCCCACACAATTATTTTACGCACGCACCCCCACAAATACCTGTACTCACACACCCACAAATACACACGCACATAATTCCCCACAAATACCCAAACAAGCAGACACACCCACGCAGGCACGCACATATACACACACATACATACGTACACACGGGGGCGTTGCACTCCAGCAGTCAGGAAAGTTGGCTCCTGTCCGACCCCCTCCCTCTCTCCCTCCCACACACCTCTCATTCCCTCTCGCTCTCACTGTTACTCACACACCAACACAACCACCCACTGCTCCACTACCACTACTATTCTCACACTACCACAACCACTATTACTGCCACTACGACCACAACTACTACCACTAGTACGTCTGAATGTCTGTCCACGATCTTGAGTCATACATACAACAATAATTGACGGAATAAACAAGGTCTGTCTGTCTGTCTGTTTATCATTCTATATGGCTGTCTACCTGCGTCTGTATGCATGTCTGTCTGTCCTCTCACACCATAGAACAACAAGGAAGAACGTCAACCAAACAACCAATCAATAAACCATTAATTCAACCAATCAAAGTGCCAGCATGTCTGAGGATTGGCGACCACGGCCCCCTTCTATCAAGTTTATCACGTTTGGTTAAGTTAGGTTATAAGGTTAGGTTAGGGGGTTAGGTTAGGGGGTTAGGTTAGGGGGTTAGGTTAGGAGGTTAGGTTATGAGGTTGGGTTAAGTTAAGTGAAGTTAGGTTAGGTTAGTTTTTCAGAGTGTGTTTACCAATGTTGCTGGCCAGGTGTATAAATATCTCTCAGGGGAACAACTTTTATTTTCATTTCATTCATTCCCGTGGTGCTGCTGCCTGCCCTCCCCCGTACCTTCCTACCTGTCTTTTAATTAAGAATATATCTACCTTTTAATCTCCTCAGTGTTTTATTATGACTGAATAAAAAAAATTGTACACAAATATACACGCCCTATACACACGCACACACACACACACACACACACACACACACACAACACACGTACACATATATGCACGTCCCTGTACACACACATATACACGTCTCCTATACACACACACACGTACACATATATATGCACGTCTCCTATACACACACATACACACGTACACATATATATGCACGTCTCCTGTACACACACATATACACGTCTCCTATACACACACACACGTACACATATATATGCACGTCTCCTATACACACACATACACACGTACACATATATATACACGTCTCCTGCACACACACACACACACACGACTAAAGCGACCTCTTTTAAAGGTGAGGGTTGAGGTTAAGACCTGGCAGGGGGAGTGAAATGAGCTAATTAACTCCCGTAGAGTTTACCTTTATAAAAAGTCTTCCTCCAGCACCTGTCTACCGTCTCCCACACCTGTCTACCGTCTCCCACACCTGTCTACCGTCTCCACCACTACTACACCCCACAACACACTAGCATGACAACTCAACAATAAAAATCCTCTTTATATTCAAGTGTGTGTTGGAAAGGTACTGCTTAAGCGGGAGTCACACACGCTATATACTAACTAAACCAGCGCTTGAGTGAGGAGTGTCCTAGGTCCCTACCCACCTACCTACCCAGCAACCCACCCAGCCTCCCTAACCCGGGCAAAAATTTATTATCTGAGAACAAGGTACTGAACATTACTTAATATCTTGTAATGATGCCATGGGTTAGGGTATGTTAAATTAGGTTATTTTTTCTGCTAGTTCAGTCACTTCCGTGTTTACCAAGTGTGTGTGTGTGTGTGTGTGTGTGTGTGTGTGTGTGTGTGTGTGTGTGTGTGTGTGTGTGTGTGTGTGTAGTGTGTGTGTGTGTGTGGTGTGTGTGTGTGTGTGTGTATCGTTTGGCGTGATGTACGCAGTTTACCTAAATATTAATGCACTGTTTTACTACAATACTCGTGAGTTCTGATACACCGTGACCCACTTGGCTTCAGTCGGTTCTCAAGACCTTTACTGTACCGAGGTAATGCAGAGACGGCAAATACCCCCCCACACACACGAATTCGTTATCGATCTTTCGTTGCCATTTATTCGTTGTCTAATACATACATTGAACCTAACTTAAATCGTGTTATTTACCTTGGACAGGGAAGGGCCGCGGCCACCAGCTATATTCTGTAAAGGCAAGAACAAAATTATGAACATGTATTAATAACAGGTGTTGTAGTGAAGATCTATATACTATATTAATTCTATATAACACAGTCCCCAATATGATAACAGCCCCCCCACAGCCCTCCAACATCCCCCTCCCTCCCTCTGGTGGTATAAGCTGTGGGTGTGGTGTGAGTGATGATAAGTCAGGTCTTTCGCAGTAGGTGTCCACAGGGTTAAGGTGTGTTCCCGTGTCTCCATGTGTCCCGAGTGTCCTCCTGTGTTCCCTGTGTCTCCCCTGTTGTGTTCCTGTATCCCTCCATGTGTCCTCGTGTCCCCATGTGTCCCCATTTCCTCTAGTAGTTAAAGATGAGAGGTGGGGAGGGGGGGGGGTATATCCAGCCAACCATCCAAGGAGTGGTGAATAATCATCATGTCAATGACCTTGTGTACATCGCCTCTTACAGGATACAGGATTCTGCCCATTTTTACTCCTCCTTGGTATGTGTGCGTGATGCGTTTTAAGTCCGCTATTTTCCCAGCAGCCTTACTTGCAGATTCTTCACACACACCCACCCACCCATCTCGTCACCTCAAATTATTTCCCAGAATATAATCTTCATTCTGATGTGGTGGTGGCGACTGACATTCTACCATTCACACAGTCTCTTAAGAACGTATACCCCCGAGGCCCACATGTTATCCTGCCTCCTGAATATTAAAGTGTGTAGTGTGGGGGTTGAAGTGTAACCTAGGATGATGGTGTGTGTGTGTGTGTGTGTGTGTGTGTGTGTGTGTGTGTGTGTGTGTTTGGTGTGTGTGTGTGTGAGGTGTATAGTGCTGTAAGCTTAAGACACAATAAAGGGCTCCAAGTATGTGATTAAGATGATCTCTGGTAGACTCAATCAGTTAGGGTTCAATGCATTACCCTGAGGCACACGACTAGCTTAAAAGTTAAGAGGAATTTGGTGCTCTACATCAAGGTCAACCATAAGTAAATGACCTTAAATTAGTCATACAGATGTAAGAATCTTTATCACGGTGTCCTAGTGGTTTAAGGGATCTGCCAAGCGTACAGTGCCTTACTCGGTCAAAGACACTAGCGGTGGCATCCTGTATAAAAACACTCCCTCACTCTGGAGTCATTAGAAACGTCTGGTGCCACGCAGTTAAGAGGTTAAGCAGAAGGTGGGGTGTCGGTCTCTCGCTCGCTTTATCTCTCTCACTCTGTTTATGTCTCTCTCTCTCACTTTATCTCTCAATGTGTCTGTCTGTCTCTTAATCACACACACAACAACTTTTGACCTAACGAGTACAACAGGACATCAACACCCAGACAAAAACACCAATGGGACTCGATACTCTAACCTAACCTCTTCCCTCCTCAACCCCCTTCATTTCCCCCTTTCCCTCACCACCTCCCCTTCCCCCTCACCACCACCCTTCCCCCTCACCACCACCCTTCCCCCTCACCACCACCCTTCCCCATCACTCCCCAAGGATAGTGTTACAGGTAAAAGGAGAAATTATCCCAGTTTTCTATATTACAGGTAACTGATAGTCCCTTACATAATACACCTGTAGCCCCCATCAACACACTGAGTATCTTTTTTTAGCCCCCATCAACACACGGAGTATCTTTTTAGCCCCCTTAACCACAGCTAAGGGACCTAAGCTAACGAGTACAAGGGGAGGGGGGGGTTAAGCTAAGAGTAGACCCCTAATGGTTGCACTGTAAGGGTACTCTGGCCTGTCCCCGAGAATGGGTTTGGTGAGGAGGGGAGGGTGCCTACCTTCCCCTACCTCTTCTCCCCTCCCTTACTTCCCTTTCCCTCCCTCCTTTCCTCCTCTCACCTCACCTTTCTCCTTTCCTTCACCTATCTCCTTGGTTTTCTCTTCCTCATCTCCCCTCTCACTCTTTCCCTCCTTTCCCCTCTCATTCCCTCCCTTACCCTCGGTCCTTCCTTGTCCCATTTATGAGGCAGGTTAGGTTAAGTTAGGTTAGTAGTTAAGTTAAATTAGGGAAACAGAGTAAGTTAGGTTAAAGTCACGGTAAGATTAGGGAAACTTATGTGAATTTAGGTTAATTTAGGTTAAATTACGGAAAATTAGGTTAAGTCACGATTTAGGTTAGGTTAATTTTGAGGTTGGTTACATGATGGAGGACGAAGGCAGGTGTGTGTGTGTGTGTGTGTGTGTGTTGGGGGGAGATGGGGGAGGGCCGCCTGGAAGACCTTGGGAACCGTCCAAGGTGACCATGGTGCGTCACACGTGGTGCTGGTGATAGTGATAGTAGTGGTGGTGGTGGTAGTGGTGGAGGTAGTGGTGGTAATGAAATATTGGTGGAAGTGTTAGTGGTAGTGGTGGTGGTAGTGGTGGTGGTAATGGTGAGGTAATTAGAGGCCCAGTAGTGGTGGTGGAAGTGGTGGTGGAGGTGGTGGCGGAGTAGTGGTGGTGGTAGTGGTGGTGGTGGTGGAGGTAGTGGTGATGGTGGTGGTTAGGTGGGTTAGGACAGACGACCCAACTCCCGGTCCTAATACGCGTTCCCTATTGAGTAAATGACACACACACACACACACACACACACACACACACACACACACACACTCTATATGTAACTTGCCCACATAATCCATGGCCCTTCAGGCACTTACGCCCTTAAATGCGCGAGTCAAGAAGTCAAGCATGAACTGCGCAAAAGCTTCCCTGTTGGGTGCTGTAAACGGCTTCTGCGCTTCGCTACGCACAGGATGAAAGAAGGTGCTCAATAAACTAGTCTCATGAGTCAAATCTGTAAGTACCTCATTCTCAGCTAACTCCCTCATTCTCAGCTAAGTATAATTGTCTCATTGTGTGTGTGTGTGTGTGTGTGTGTGTGTGTGTGTGTGTGTGTGTGTGTCCTCAAAAGGGTTATCGTCATAAAAGCATATAACTCTCTCTCTCTCTCTCTCTCTCTCTCCTCTCTCTCTCTCTCTCTCTCTCGTCAATCATACAATTAAATGAGTGTTCATCCACTCACCCATGCAACCAACTGTCCATCCACTGAACCAGTCAGCTATACAACTAACCAACTGTCCATCCAGTCAACCACCAACCATCCACTCGTCCAGCCAACCCACCACTCATCCAGTCAACCCACCAGTCATCCAGTCAACCCACCAGTCATCCAATCAACCCACCACTCATCCAGTCAGCCCCTACTCATCCAGTCAACCCACCACTCATCCAGTCAACCCACCACTCATCCAGTCAACCCACCAGTCATCCAGTTAACCCACCAGTCATCCAGTCAACCCACCAGTCATCCAATCAACCCACCACTCATCCAGTCAGCCCACTACTCATCCAGTCAACCCACCAGTCAACCAGTCAACCCACCAGTCATCCAGTCAACCCAACAGTCATCCAGTCAACCCAGCAGCTGTTCGTCGGGGGGTCCAGCGTCGTCGAAATGTTAACTGGAACAACAGTCACTGGATCGATGCAGGGTCACTGTCCTGCCAGACCCTCACTCTACCCTCCCTCCCTCCTTCCTTCTCTACCCTCCTCCCTCTTTCTCTACCCTCCCTCCCTCCCTCCCTCCCTTCCTTCTCTACCCTCCTCCCCTCTTTCTCTACCTACCCTCCCTCCCTTCCTTCTCTACCCTCCCTCCCTTCTTTCTCACCCTCCCTCCCTCCCTTCTTTCTCTACCCTCGCTCCCTCTTTCTCTACCTCCTCCCTTCCTTCCTTCTCTACTCCTCCTTCTCTATCCTCCCTCCCCTCTTTCTCTACCCTCCCTCCCTCCCCTCTTTCTCTCCCTCCCCTCCCTCCTTCCTTCTCTACCCTCCCTCCCTCTTTCTCTACCCTCCCTCCGCCCTCCCCTCTTTCTCTACCCTCCTCCCTCCCTCTCTACCCCTCCTCCCTCCCTTCCTTCCTTCTCTCCCCTGCCTCCTCCCCTCTTCTCTACCCTCCCCTCCCTCCCCTCCTTTCTCTACCCTCCCTCCTCCCTCCTCCCCCCTCTTTCTCTCCCCTCCCTCTTTCTCACCCTCCCTCCCTCCCTTCCTTCTCTCCTCCTCCCCTCTTTCTCTACCCTCCTTCCCTCCCCCCTCCCCTTCTTTCTCTACCTTCCCTCACTGTTTCTCTACCCTCCCTCCCCTCTTTCTCTACCCTCCTTCCCTCCCCCTCCCGCATCACGGTCTCTGCCTCACTCACTGTCTATTTGCTTTACTGCTTGTCTCACTGTCACTCTTAACCTGTCTTACAGGATACCCACCTGTCACTAACTGTTATCTTCACCTGTCACTTTGTCACCTTTCACCTGTCATTATCCGTAACACCTCCTCCTAACTGACTGACTCGCACTTCTGTGTCTCTCTCTCTCTCTCTCCGTCTAAACGTTCAGGGTTCTGTCTCCCTGTCTTTCCCCGTCTTAGCGTCCAGGGTTCTGTCTTTGTCTGTCTCTTTCACCGTCTCAGTCTCTCTCCCGTCTTTCTGTCTCCCCGTCTTTCTATCTGTCTGTCTCTGTCACACACCGTCCCAGCGTCCCGTGGTTTAAGTTATCGTACACATGGTAGGTGTCAAAACCCCCACAGTCAACCTCGTCCTAATCAGTGGACTCAAAGGGTTTACATTACCACACTGAAAGACGGGCATCGTACCCTTGGCATCTGATCAAGGTCCCTTCCCCGAGTCATCGTGCCCTTAGTGGTTAATCAAGGTCCCTCCTGAGTCATCGTGCCCTTAATGTTTAATCAAGGTCCTTCCTGAGTCATCGTGCCCTTAGCGTTTAATCTATGTGTGTTTGTGTGTGTGTGTGTGTGTGTGATTTGCATAACACACACACACCGCACTAGCAGGGTTTGTCAGTGGACTACTGCACCATCCTCGTCATCGCCACCTACTGCCACCGGCAGTCCGCCACTACAACAAAATTCAGCCCATAAGAGCCCGCACTGATAGATATAAGAACAGCACCATCCCATCTAGTGTTAAAATAATAAACAACTCCTGATTTATGTACTGTACAGCCCTGTATATCATTA